TATACGAGGGCTAATCAAAAAGTATCGAGACTGATAATATTACTCGGAAACCGAGCGTTGAAGAGCAAAACGATTTGTAAACCTAGCTTCTATGACTTATACTGAGCACATCTATTCGTATAAAATCTCTATAAACTTCTTCGTTTTGATTTGACGATATTTTTCTAAAATTTGTTTTTCACGTTTGGCGATTTCGTAATGAATCCAAAAGAAGCGGAACTTGCTGCCACTCGAGGGCACATTTTCAGTTTTTCAATTGACATTTAATGGCAAAAACCATGAAATGTTGCATCCCTCTGAAACTGAAAAAAAATGCAGACAAATTTTCTAAAATCTCCAAATCTGGCAAGTTACTCTTCTTTTGGGTTTATTACAAAATCGCCAAACTCGGAAAATATATTTTACAAAAATATCAGTGAAATCAAACCGAAGAATTTTATAGAGAAGCAATTAAAACAAATGTACACAGAAAAAGTCATAGAAGCAAGTGATACCAATCCTACTGCTCTTCGATGCTCCTTTTCCGAATGATACTACCAGTCTTGATACTTTTTGATTAGCCCTCGTGGTTGTTAAGTGTTTGTACCGATTTTCCCGGTTTTCTCACGTTTATGTAATTTTCACGTTTGAAGAAAATAACCATTTTTATTTCACCAATAAAATGTTTGTAATTTCCGTTATGCTTTAGTTGTTTGCACGCTATAGAATACTATAGAAATACAATTAACATCGGGGAGGGGGGCGGGGGGTTATTTACCAGTATAGAAACTATTAGAGTATCTATCGCCACTATTATAGAATAATTATACCCGTACTATTAATAATTATAGTGATAACAAATTATTAACACTCGTCATAGCTTCTGTAGTTATATTATCTTTAAGTAAAGTACGGTTTTTACCAGTTCTTTCACCGACCCTCACGCCGATATATAATGTATTGCAAACATCTATGAGGTGTACGTGTAACCCGGTAAATGTTTAGATTAGCCGCTCCCCATATGTGCCCCTTGGAAAATTGTAATAACGTGTTGAGTTTTGGTCACGCCTTTTTCAATTTCGAACCACTGTGCGCCGCCCCGTAAACGGCCGCAAATCGAATTTTAAAACAAAGGCGCGGGCGTTTGTTTTTATTTTTTCCCTCGAGTTTTTCCGTCGTCCGTTGGGTGTAATCGGCTACTCAAAATTGAAATCGTTTACGAAATGTTGAAATTCGTTTGGTTTCGCCGGTCGCACCACTAGTTACAAATCGGTCACGAAATTCTGTGACCGCGTCTCGGATGGACGCCGACGATCTGTGACTTTTCATCGTCCCCTTCAGAATTATTATTTCTCCTCGTTAAACCGTCGGCACGGCGTCGAAGACATACTATGTTATCGCATTATTACCATAGCCGTTCAAGTTGTTGTTGCTGTCGTTGTACCGTTCTCTATGGTCTTCAACCTTTTTTTCCGCGAGGACCACTGTATTTTACCATACATTTTTTACGACCCATCATCTATGTTACTTNAATCCCCAGAAATACTTTGATTACATTAAAATGACATTTCAATTCCATATCATAGCCAGAAGATTATTGGATAATTCGTACATCCGAACGGGGAATGAATATATCTATTTTTGATCTAATACCAAAGGATGATACAAAAAATAATCGATGAAAGACAACCGAATAGGATGATGGGGACGGGTGCAACCACTGTTTCGGGTAATTTAACGAGTACCCGTAAGCAACGATAAACCGTTGCTAACGAAAACACGATTCTGAGCGGAGTTCAGTTGTCATATTACGGTGAAATAATCAGATAGACTTTATATATTTTCTTTAATAATATTTGTTTAAAGTTGTACCGATTTTCGCGGCTTTTCCTACGTTTTTCCCGGTTTTTCACATTTGCTGGGAAAACTCTTGGGAAAACCGAAAAATGACCTCCCTTGAGTTCCTCTCCACACCGATTCCTTTTGACAAAAGGTGCTACACGTAAAGATTTCTGGTAGAAAAGTCGCACACATATATATATATATATATACATATTTTAACGGTAACGAGTAGGTTATGAGAAAATTCGTTTTTTTTTTTTTTTTTTCGTTAATCCCTCGAACACGCTCGTTAATATTGTAACCCGTATTAAAAGAATCAATTTCGATAAAAA